ACCCGGGACAGAGCACGCCGCACCATCACACTGACTCAGTCACACATGGTGCAGCAGGTCCTTCAGCGCTTCGGCTTCACCTGGTCCTCGGCACAGGCCACTCCTCTGGCTACAGGTCACTCGCTCTCAGCTCCACCTTCGGACGAGTCCGTAGAGCCGAGTGGTCCTTACCCAGAGCTAGTTGGCTGCCTCATGTACCTGATGAATTGCACTCGTCCTGACCTCGCGTACCCTCTTGGCCTTCTGGCTCGCTACGTGGCTCCTGGTCGGCACGGAAAGGTGCACTGGGATGCTGCTAAGAGGGTACTCCGCTACTTGTGCAGTACATCAGGCATGGGGCTCGTGCTTGGAGGGAGGAGCTCAGTTTTCCTCACTGGGCACTCAGACGCTTCTTGGGTTGACGACCAGGCTACGCAGCGGCCGTCATAGGGTTACACATTTTGTCTTGGCTCTAGTTCAGTTTCTTGGCATTCTACACGGTCGTCTTCAGTTCTCAGCTCCAGTTGTGAGGCTGAGATCTACGCGACAGCCATGGCTGCACAGGAGTTACGCTGGCTCACCTACCTGCTGACCAACTTGGGAGAGCAGCCTCGTTCTCCTCCAGTGCTGTACGTCGACAACAAGGCTGCCATTGCCTTGTGTGAGGAGCACAGACTGGAGCACAGAACGAAGCACATCGCTCTGCGTTACTTCCTGGCTCGAGAGCTGCAGCAGCGTGATCAGCTTCGTCTGCGTTACGTGGCCACTCGGGCCAACACTGCTGATATATTCACCAAGGCACTTCAGTCTGGTGATCATCAGCGTTTCTGCACTGTGCTAGGGCTTGTGCCCACTTTTCCTCACTTGCTGTAGGCTTTATTTGTACTGTGATATATATATATATATATATATATATACCTGCATGTTTGTTTTGCTATGTGGAGATCACTGTGATGTTTGTGTTACATATATGCCTCTGCATGTGAACTGGCCTTGTGGCCGTTTGCTTGTACTCAGTGAGTGTGGTGTCGTTGTGATCCACCCTGGGCTTGCTTTGCCTTTCTTGACTGGTCTTGTGACCCCTTGCTCTCCCCCACTTTGCCTATGGGGGTGTGTCAAATCTTATATCTGCTACAGTTTGTTAAGGATGTAGTGGGGTAGTTACTATGGGGTACAATACGTTTAGAGTTTCCCACTTGTACCCAACCATTTCCTAGTGCAAACACTTCTCTCATTCTGACAGGTTGTTGGCATTCTCCCCCGCGTGACTCCGCCTTTGACTGTAGCGAGTCTTGGCTGCAGTCTTCCTGGTGGATCTCTTTCTGCCCCACCAGGCTTCATTTCTAGCATGGCAGAGACAGTGGTGGGAGGGAGAAGGCAGTGGGAATGAGAGGGCAGTGGGAGTGAGAGGGCGGTAGAGGGACCGTAGCGAGTCTTGATTCCAGCCTAGATGACTGAACCTCGTTTTGTCCCTACTGAATCTTTATACTGCATGGCAGAGGTGGTGGTGGGAGTGAGAGGGTGGTGGAGTTAAAAAAAAAATCAGCCTTCAGCCTTGCATTGCCTGCCCCCACCTCCTTCAGCCCTGCTATCGCACGGCGCCTCATTGCTCCTGTGCATGGGGTGGTTAAGTAAAAGGAGGTGGGGGAGGGGACATGGCAGAGGCACATTCAGCCCCGCACCTATGTTGGAAAAGTCGCCAGAAACCATAAGCGCACTCCGTATAGTCGTTTACGAATATACGATGTACGCAAGTCGTACGTATATTCGTTGGCGAAAGTTCGGGCTGACCCGAAAAAAAACCAGATTTCAATAGTCGCGCACGAATTGCGAATGTGCGACGCGACTCAAAATGTACGCACGTCCCACCCCAATTTGTACGCACGTCCCAACCACATTGTCACCCACACCTGTCAAAATGTGGGGACGTGGGAAAATTTGAACCGCACTGCACCCTATGCTATCGCGCGACTCCAACACACAAACACGAATGTCGTCAACCAGCGTAGGTGGTTCAACCACATCCTGGACTATAAGGTAAGCTCTCATTCCCGTCATCTGTATTATCTCTCTCGTTCATTCTCTCTCAACACTCCCGCTCACCTGCACTTGATGTCGACTCCTTCTGGTACTCCCGCAAGTGCCACTAGTGAGGCTCCTAGTGTTTCGAATGACGCGACCATGGCGGACGACAAGGATGTTCCTGTGAACACCCATGTTATTTTTAAGCATTTCCTTACCTCTACCGAAGGTACCTCGAATGGTCCTGAGCGTACTCTCCGCATATGCCGGCACTGCAAGCTTAAGTTCGTAGGGGGCGCCTTCCGTTGCGCGCAACACATCACGCGCTGGAAAGGGCTGAAACGGAAGGACGTCCGTCTTTGCAAGGCGCCTATCCCTTCTGCTGACCGCGGCGCCGTCCGCGAATTGTACGAAGGCAAACACGCCCGCAGGGAAGGGAAGAAGAAGGCGGAGGAGATGGCGATCGAGGCGTGTGCGGGTGGAGCGAAGAAGCAGTGCATCGAAGACTTCTACGGGGAAGGGGCGTCGTGTGCGAAGGAATCGGCAGACGACGCCATCTGCCTCATGTGGGCGGCACTTCACCTCCCGGAGCATCTCGCCGATCACCCTCTCTGGCGCAACGCTGTGCGCTGCATCACGGACGCGGGCCATGGCTACGTTCCCCCGAAGCGGCGGTATGTTGGTGGCGCCGGCCTTGCGCGCTGCCGCGAAAAGATCGAGAGGGGGCTCGCTCCCATCACTGCGAGCTGGAAGCGGGATGGCGTGACGATAGGCTCGGACATGATGACGGACAAAAGTGGCCGTCCCCAAGCCAACATCCTGCTCATCAACGATTCCGGTGCAGTGTTCACCGAAAGCATCGACTGTAAGTTGGAGACGAAGACGGGAGGCTACATTGCATCCGTTTTGCGCCCGATCATTGAGAAGGTGGGGCCCGCCAACATAGTTGCGTTATGCATGGATGGGGGCAGCAATTATGCGGCTGCATGTAGGGAACTCATGCTTGAGTATCCTCACATTGAGCATGTGCCGTGCGCTACTCACGTCATGGATCTGCTCATGGAGGACATTGGGAAAATGGATTGGGCGAAGGACATTGTGGCTAAGGCGGGGGTGATTATTACCTTTGTGCGTGCCCACCATTTCACCAAAGGTTACATGCGAAGCCCGCAAGTGAAGGGAGGGAAGGGGAAGCAGGTGCTGAAGCCGGCGGGCACCAGATTTGGCACGCAATTCATCGCGGTGCAGCGGCTTTGCGAGGTGCGGAGTGCATTGACGCAGATGGTGCTGAGCCCGGAGTGGCAGGCTTGGGCGAAGGGGAGGAAGCCGCCGGTCGAGCCCTTCGCAACCATGATCATGGATGCCGTGTGGTGGAAAGGTGCGGAGTTCTTCGTCGCCCTCCTGAAGATCCCCTTTGTCGTCATGCGCAAGACCGACTCGACGGCCAAGGGCATGATGGGCAGGATGTACGATCTGATGCTGCAGCTCACGGAAGACATCAATGCGAAGCTGGAGGAGGAGGAGGCGGGATTGGTGCTGTCCAGCAGTGAACGCACGGAGGTGACCAACATCGTCCAAAAGCGCTGGGACCATAGCATGGCGTGTGCCATGCACGTGGTTGGCCGGATCCTCAACCCGGTCAACCAAGAGGAAGGCATCTTCCGCACCGACCTGGAGTGTACTCGCGTCTTCAAAGCGTTTGTCGCTCGTCACTACGCAGGGCGGACCGTCACGCGCAAGGATGGCGAGGAGCTGCGCGCATCCCACGTCATCCAGGACGGCCTGACGGCATTCAACACCCTTCAGGGGAGCTTCGGCCTACCCGACGCCATCTCTGACCGTGAGCTCGTGAAGGCCGGTAAGAAGACGGCCGTCCAGTGGTGGACGTGGCACGGGACGGAGCACCCCGAGCTGACAACGCTCGCTTGCCGCGTTCTCTCTCAGCCAGTGTCCGCATCGGCGTGTGAGAGGAACTGGGCAGTGTGGGAATCGATCCACACTGCCAAGCGCAACAGGTTGGGGTCCGAGAAGTGTCGGGACCTCGTGTATGTTGCGCACAATTGGAACATTGTGCGCAACTGGCACAAGGGGGCTGAGTGGGTGACGGTTCTCCCGGGGAACATCCCTGAGGCCTCCCTGCCGGAAGGGTACAACGAGGTTCTGGAGGAGGATGAGGAGGAGGGGGAGGAGGATGAGCTGGAGGATGAGTACAAGTAGAGGAGGAAGGAAGGGACGGGGGGAGTAGAGGGTGGGAGTAGGGGGTGGGGTAGGAGAGATGCATGTTGCTTGCTTAGAGTAGTTGAGAATGGTGGGTTTTTTCAATATATGAAATTCGGTAAAACCACCACTCCCCCCCCCCTCCTTCGGCGGTTTTTTTCGTCTGCCCGGTAAAAACCTTTTGCTGCCCAGGCAGCGTACTTTCTGCGACTTTCAAAGTCACTCACGAAGCGCATAACGCACTATACGCAAGCGTATATACGCTTGCGTATAATGCGCTGGGCGCGACTTTTCCAACATAGCCCCGCACCACTTCTCCCACACCCTTCAGCTCTGGAAGCACACGGCGCCGCATGGCTCCCTGCGCATGGCGGCCAGGGAGGGCCGAGGAGGAATCTTCAGTGGGGGACTGGGTGGAAAAGAGAAGACGGGAAATTTCTTTCACCGCCTGCCCCACCTCCTTCAGCCCCGCTAGCACCCGGCGCCACATCGTTCCTTGTAAATGAGGGGTTCAGTGGGAGGGGAATGGGAGAGGGAAGGGAGAGGATTGTTCTCCTTCAGCCCCACACAAACTGCCCCACATCCTTGATGCTGGTGCATGGGGGATTCAAGTGGGAGGGGGATGGGGAGGGAGTGTGGGGAATCTTCTTCAGTCCTACACTGCTTGCCCCACCTCCTTTAGCCTGGTTAGCACGTGCCGCTGCCTCGTTGCTCCCTGCTCCCATGCGTCGTAGGGGGATTGAGGGGAAGACAGGAGTGGGAAAGGGGGAGGGAGGGGACTGCTAGGTGAGCGGGTTGGGAGGGCTGTGAGGTGAGAGGGTGGCACATTGAGGTGAGAAGGTGGGGACTGTGAGGTGAGGGGGTGGCACGTTGAGTTGAGGTGAGAGGGTGGCACATTGAGGTGAGAGGGTGGGGACTATGAGGTGAGGGGGTGGGGAGGACTGTGAGGTGAGAGGGTGGGGAGGCCTGTGAGGTGAGAGGGTGGGGAGGACTGTGAGGTGAGAGGGTGGCATGGGAACATTCTGCGAAAGTTGAGAAGGTGGGAACCGTCACCGCTCTGCAACGTACTATATCTCACGCTCTAAGGGGATGGGACCCATGGAGGTGAGGAAGAGGGTATGGATGGACCAGCAGGCAGCCAGCAGCGAGTTCAGTTTTGGAGTGACCACCTGGTGGGCGGGCGTACCTCGGAGGAGGGCAAAGGCGAAGGGGGCAATGCGTGGGGGGAAGGAGAGGCAGGGGTGGCGCATATTGTGTATGGTGGGAGGCAGGGGTGGCGCATATTGTGTATGATGGGAGGCAGGGGTGGCGCATATTGTGTATGATGGGAGGCAGGGGTGGCGCATATTGTGTATGATGGGAGGTAGGGGTGGCGCATATTGTGTATGATGGGAGGCAGGGGTGGCGCATATTGTGTATGATGGGAGGCAGGGGTGGCGCATATTGTGTATGATGGGAGGCAGGGGTGGCGCATATTGTGTATGATGGGAGGCAGGGGTGGCGCATATTGTGTATGATGGGAGGCAGGGGTGGTGCATATTGTGTATGATGGGAGGCAGGGTGGCGCATATTGTGTATGATGGGAGGCAGGGGTGGCGCATATTGTGTATGATGGGAGGCAGGGGTGGCGCATATTGTGTATGATGGGAGGCAGGGGTGGCGCATATTGTGTATGATGGGAGGCAGGGGTGGCGCATATTGTGTATGATGGGAGGCAGGGGTGGCGCATATTGTGTATGATGGGAGGCAGGGGTGGCGTCGTCGGACTGAAGTCACTTACGGATTCGCCAACAAAAAACCTAGTTGTTGCGTGCGAACCTAGCTGTTGCGTGCGAACGCGCTTCACTCAGTGCTCTGGGCTCTGGAGTAGCATGACTGGAGGAATAAGTGTTGAGGAATTCAATTTTTTGTCACATTCTTCACATTCAGCAAGGGAAGCAATCGCGAATGATGAGGCTGGGTCTTCCAGTCCTATTATGACGGTTCAGTGCGATTCGTTGCGGTCGTGTTGCATATCCGAGACGGGTAGTGAACGGTTTTCCGTGATTCGGTTCACTTCAGAATGGTGCAGTGCGGTGAAGGTTCAAAGAAACAAAGAGTACCCCTTCCTGAAAGGCTGTGTAACAAGATCCGTTACAGAAGAAGTGTGCACGAAAGGAAGCAAGTTCTGCATGCGTGCAATCCTCATTGGCGACAAGCAGACAACTGTAACGTCCATCACAGCTAACATGCTCACCTTTGCCAGAGTTTCGTCACCTCCTTTGGCGCCGCAGGTCGGTTCCAATCGCCACGTTGTTACCCAGATTCACACCCAGGTGCTGCTACTGCGACAACTCTTCGAGAAGCTGGCATGCCAGTTAGCTGCCAACCACGTCTGTTGGGGGAACAGCAGCAGTAGCACATGAGAAGCAATGGAGGTTGCCTTGACTCTACTCTCCCCCGCGCCCAAGTTGTGCCTCTCTTGCCACCACCACCGCCACTGCTGCAGCAGCAGCATGTGTTGGGGGCTCATGGGAGCGAGGAGCGATGGTGTCAGGGAGGCCTGCATAGGATCATTCAAATCAACTGCCGCCCACGCTGCTACTGATTCTGCTCATTCTGTTCCCCACACCCTGTAGTCCACCCCCACGGTATGTCCTTCCCCCATGCCACTGACGCCACGACTGGTGATGTTGCTGCAACAGCAGTAGGGAGTATGTATGCGGCTGCTGCTGCTGCTGCAGGGGCAGATGTGAAAGGCTCGGGTGGAGCAGTTGGTGGGATGAGGAGTTGGTGGAAGAATAATGCTGAGAGTGAGTGAAGGGAAGGCATGAGAAAATGGCAGGCATCTGCTTCCTGCTCTCATTCTCCCATACTCACATGCTCTTATACTCCCAATCTCCCACACTCCATGTCCCATGCCCACTCCCTGCTCCTGCTATCAGTAGCTGATAAGGGGATGAAAGAAAAGGGGTCAGTGAGAGACAATGGGGGGGCAAAGGTTGACATGCATTTTAGAGTTGTTGCGAAGTGGGGAGGGGGAGGGGGGGGGGGGGGGGGGGGGGGAGGGGTGTAGCTTGAGTGACCATTCTGTTTGAGATGGAAATACTTCAACCCCTTCTTTTGAGCATGACGTGATGCTTGCTGCCCAATAAGGTGCTTGTCTAACCCCAAGGTCACTCCTTCCTCAATCCAAGCCACTGACACCACCACTTCTGATGCTGCTGCAGGCGTACAGGGTCTGAAAGTGGCAGCTGCTGCAGCAGCAGCAGACGTGAAGGGCTCTGATGGGGCAGGTGGGAGTGGGGTGGGTGAAAGACATGGTGCTATGCAAGTGCCTCCACCGTCTGCCCTTGCCACTTACCTCTGACGCCACCACTTCGGATGCTGCTACAGCGGGCGAAGGGGGGGATTGTAAATGTAGCAGCATGTCAAGCAATGAGATCGGACACAAGGTTGGATATATGGAATAGAAAGCACCTAAGGGGGAGACATGATGAGGACGGAGGAAGGGGTGGTGGGAACGGGTAGGTGGAGATCAAGATTTCAGAAGACGTTTGCAGAGCAAACTATCGAGGTGCAGAGGAGTGAATAATGGAGCAAGAGGAGGAGGGGGTACGGCGGTATGGAGAAAGAGGGTACGACTTGAGGCATTAATTCATAGCCTTATGCAGGTGATGTGGATGGCAGTGAGAGGTGCTGCCTGAGGCGAGTTGACTACGGTGCTGCTGCTTGGGTAAATTGGTGGGGGAGCAGATCGGAAGAGAACGGTGGGATGAGGATGAGGAACACGATGTGTTTATGCGTGGGTTGAACGTTGAGAAGGGTAAAGGGCAGGGCACTAAGGGGGGGTGGGGGGCAAAGAATGTGGGGAAAATAGGGGGAGAGGGGGGGATGTTGGGGGGAAAGCTGGGGGAAGAGAATGGTTGCACGCTACTCATGATCTCATACAGCACCCAGGGAGGTGGTCACCTTCTGGGGAGGGGCAATGAGGAGAGGAGTATCAAAAAAAGAGAGGGGACGGATGTAGGAAAACAGTTTGCATGGGAGCATAAAAAGAGCGATGGCAGGGGGGTAGCGGGGGAGAGGGTTGGATGGATGTGGAGAAACTGCAGCAGAGTTAATCAATGGGTGTGATGATGGTGATGGTGAAACATGTTATTGAAGTCACATGGATCAACTAGTTGTGTCACTCTTTCCTACAAAAAAGAGCAACATAGGCATACAAACCTTCAGTCATGGCATGCCATGATGCCATATCCTTGCTCGCTTCTCTTCATACATCATTGGAGACCAACATGCAAGAAGCAGCATGCAGGTAACGCCCATGGTCGAAAGGTTGCATCCACCGCTTTCACTCTTCCCTCCTTCATACGCCTCCCTCTTCCGCTGCCGCGCCGGCCTTCCATGCCTCTCCCGCTCACTTCCACCCACTTGCCGCTGACTGGCTTCACCGCCACCCCTTCTGCTGCTGCAGCTCGTGGCTCTGCCGTGCTGGACGGCTGTGTCTTGCAATGATATGCTGGGCGGCTCACGACTAGTCCAGGGAAGGGTGCTGTTGGTGTGTGAAAGTGCACGGGAGAGAGGAACGAAGGTCAGGGCGTATTGCTCATGATGGCAGTAAAACACTGGAAAGCCTTGCTCAGCAAAGTAGCGCCAGCAGCGCCATTGTTCAGGCATGGGTGAGTATTGGTGCAAGAGAGGGATTCAGTCCTAGCAGGAGTAACAAGCACCACGCATTGCAAGTTGAGGCTGTTGCAGTCTCAACACATCTCGCCCATGAGCAACATCAATCTTATGATGCACACTTTCATGATCTACCCTAACCACCACCATGTCTAACTCCTCTCTTTCACAATTCCATGAGCAACATCAATCTTATGATGCCCTCGCACACTCAGACGCTCTCACGGACGGTGCTTGTGAACGACTAAACAACAAGTTGCCAACAAGCTCCATACAGTGGCAGGCAGGCAGAGCATAGCAGAAAAGAGCCTGTGGAATTTTGAGCCCCCACCACTGCGCCTCGCCTCACCCCCCTCCAACTGCGCCTCACCCCCCTCCAACTGCGCCTCACACCCACTGCAGCATCTCACGCCCACCTGTGTGCGTCAACCCCACCACTGCCCCTCGCCCCCACCACTGCCCCTCGCCCCCACCACTGCCCCTCGCCCCCACCAACCACTGCCCCTCACTCACCCCCACCACTACCCCTCACTCACCCCCACCACTTGCAAAACTCCTCACTAGAGGTGACCACTGGTTTCATCAGCCTGGAGCCCTCAAATGGAGAATGAGAAACTTGCGGAATAGGAGAACGGAGGGAGGTAAGGTGCGACTGTGCATGTCTGTGTCAATTTGTCATATCATGTGAAACACAATCAGGACCACCATTGAAACACAAGTGATTCGTTCAGATTCATTCATTCAATGAGTTTCAAGAAATCCCCTAATTCTGTCCAAAAAGGCATTGATGCTGGGCATACCAATTGGTTCTCGGGCGAGAACCTGTGAGCGAGAAGATCTGAATCTGCAACACCTGCGGGACAATGGACGGCCAGGGATGAATTGGGAGTAAGGGGGGAGTCGACGGGGAGAGGGGATGAGTTTAACACGATTCACAACCTGAAGGGTAGGTCAGCACATGCGCCAGGAAGGTGAAAGTGGGAAATCCCCTACATGACCCCACTTCCCCCCTCCCTACTCTCCCCGTCCCTACTCTCCCCGTCCCTACTCTCCCCGTCCCTACTCTCCCCGTCCCTACTCTCCCCGTCCCTGCTCTCCCCGTGCCTGCTCTCGCCGTGCCTACTCTCCCCGTCCCTACTCTCCCCGTCCCTACTCTCCCCGTCCCTACTCTCCCCGTCCCTACTCTCCCCGTCCCCTCTCCCCGTGCCTACTCTCCCCGTGCCTACTCCCCCCGTGCCTAGTCCCCCCGTCCCTACTCCCCCCGTGCCTACTTTCCCCGTCCCTAGCCTCCCCGTCCCTACTCTCCCCGTCCCTACTCTCCCCGTCCCTACTCTCCCCGTGCCTACTCTCCCCGTGCCTACTCCCCCCGTGCCTAGTCCCCCCGTCCCTACTCTCCCCGTGCCTACTCTCCCCGTCCCTACTCTCCCCGTCCCTACTCTCGCCGCCCCTACTCTCGCCGTCCATTCTTCCGTCGTCCCTACTTCCGCCCTGCCTACTTCCCCCGTATTTATTCCCGTCCATAGTTCATCGGTCCCTATCTTATGAACGTATGAATGAATGTGCAGGGAAGGGGGGGGAGGAGGATAGGGAGAGCATGGCATGCGGATGCGGTGCAGAGCACATGTGCATGCATGCGCGTGAGGAGGGGAGCGAGGGGGGGGGCGTGAGGAGCTTCTGCATGAGCGTTGGCGGGGAGGAAGAGGGGGGGGGAGGGGGAGGGCGATATTGACTTCACGCCACGCTCTCGCGCTCGCGCTGCTGCTACGGCGCGATGTGAGGTGACTCCGATTGGCGAACTGGCTGTGCAAAGGCGCGCTCGGCGGACGGTGCCGATGCGAATGGCGAGTTGCGCACGACTGGCGGCCCGCGGGAGCGTGTCACGGCGGGCAGACGGGCAGCGGCGCGACGATACGCGCGGTGGCGAGGTAGGCAGGGGTGATAGGAGCGGGGCGGTGATCGGGTGTGGGTGTTTGCGCGCGGGGATGGCCCATCCACCTCGCATCACGCCGTACCACCGCATTCCCACGCATCCCTCCACCAGTGGCGGCGGCCGCCAACGGTGCTCGCGCGTGAATGCGCGCATCGCCCACCTCACCTGCCGCTTCACTACCGCCCACGCGGCTGCAGGTGCGCCTGGTGGAAGGGCGGTGGTCGCACGCCATGCGAGGCGAGCAGCAGGCTGGCGTGCACCGCGCGACGCCGCTGCCACCGTGACTGGACCAGCGCACACCAACCATACCTCCCAACGAAACTCGCCCTAGTCTATCGTAACTACTAACCTAGTCGCAGGTTCTTCATTCGAAAGAACGCGCTGCCAGCTTTTTCCTCATGTCATTCGCGATCCCCTGCTGTGCTCGCCATGAGTGTGAAGCTATTCTCCCTAGAAGCGGGCTTACGATTGCGGATAGTGCGCGGAATCAGTGAATATTGGGTGCGATTACAAAGAGAGTGACGATACAATTGACATGACGGGATGAGATAGGGGAAACCCTAGCTAGGTGTGGACCTCGGGAAAACGAGGCTCGGGAGTGTGGCGACCGACGCGGAGGCGACTCGTGGGTGGTTCGGGGCGAGTTTGTAGGTGTTACGAGTGCAATTGAGTGATCGAACGAGAATTGCACTATCGAAGCAAGAGTACAATGAGCGAAGGCATGAGCGAAGGCATGAGCGAAGACTATATAGCGAAACTACAGTGGTAACGCTAATGAACTGTGTTAAACCTTAGGCAAGGATGGATTGAGTATCGAGAGAGTTGGTACAAGAGGAAAATCCTAAGGGGTTATACCCCACACTATCTACCCCACTACAGCCTAGCAATAACTCTAACATATAGATATATGTTTGACACACCCCCATAGGCAAAGTGGGGGAGAGCAGGAGATCACAAGACCAGTCAAGAAAAGCAAAGCAAGCTCAGGGTGGATCACAATGTCACCACACACACTGAGCACAAGCAAAGGGCCACAAGGCCAGTTCACATGCAGAGGTATATATGCAGTACAAACAACACAGTGATCTCAATCTAGCAAAGCAAGTATGCAGGAATATATATAGATAGATCACAGTAAAGACAAAGCCTACAGCAAGTGAGGAAAAGTGGGCACAAGCCCCAGCATAGTGCAGAAACGCTGATGATCACCAGACTGAAGTGCCTTGGTGAATATATCAGCGGTGTTGGCCTGAGTGGCCACGTAATGCAGACGAAGCTGACCACGCTGCTGCAACTCTCGAGCCAGGAAGTAACGCAGAGCGATGTGCTTCGTTCTGTGCTCCAGTCTGTGCTCCTCACACAAGGCAATGGCAGCCTTGTTGTCGACGTAAAGTACTGGAGGAGAACGAGGCCGCTCTCCCAAGTCGGTCAGCAGGTAGGTGAGCCAGCGTAACTCCTATGCAGCCATGGCTGTCGCGTAGATCTCAGCCTCACAACTGGAGCTGAGAACTGAAGACGAGCGAGTAGAATGCCAAGAAACCGAACCAGAGCCAAGGCTGAAGGTGTAACCCTGTGACGACCGCTGAGTAGCCTGGTCGTCAACCCAAGAAGCGTCTGAGTGCCCAGTGAGAACAACTGAGCTCCTCCCTCCAAGCACTAGCCCCATGCCTGATGTACTGCACAAGTAGCGCAGTACCCTCTTAGCAGCAGCCATGTGCTCAGGTCGGTGCCGACCAGGAGCCACGTAGCGAGCCAGAAGGCCAAGAGGGTACGCGAGGTCAGGACGAGTGCAAGTCATCAGGTACATGAGGCAGCCAACTAGCTCTGGGTAAGGACCACTCGGCTCTACGGACTCGTCCGAAGGTGGAGCTGAGAACGAGTGACCTGTAGCCAGAGGAGTGGCCTGTGCCGAGGACCAGGTGAAGCCGAAGCGCTGAAGGACCTGCTGCACCATGTGTGACTGCGTCAGTGTGATGGTGCGGCGTGCTCTGTCCCGGGTGATCGGCAAGCCAAGGTAGCTACGCAGTTCACCCAGGTCTGTGCACGTGTGTCTTTTCTGCAGCTCCGACTTCACGTGGGCGAGAGCCTCAGTGTCAGCAGTGGCAAAGACCAAGTCGTTGACGTACACGAGGATGTAGAACGGCGGCAGTGAAGAGTCGGTGCGCCGAAACAGCGACGGGTCAGCAGTAGAAGGCGCGAACCCAAGAGCCGCAAGTGTAGTCCTCAGTGTGTCGTGCCACTCACGTGGCGCCTGGCGGAGACCGTAGACTGGCCGCCGGAGGCTCCACTGGGTACCAGGAGGAAACAACCTAGTGAAGCCAGGAGGGCGGCGCAGCCAGATCTCCTCATGCAGGCTGCCCTGCAAGAAAGCTGTGCTGAAGTCAAGAGAGTGAAGCTCGTAGTCACGCTGAGCGGCAACGTGCAGCAGCACCCGAAGAGTGGTCATCTTCGGGGTGGGGGAGAAGGTCTGGAAGAAGTCTACTCCCTCTCGCTGACTGAAGCCTCGAGCAACGTAACGAGCCTTGAAGACAGGCGGAGAACCCGGCGGCCGCTTCACCCTGAAAATCCACATGCCACTGACGATGTTCGCCCCAGGAGGGGGAACCTCGTCAACGTAAGTGCCTGTGGACTTCCAGGATGCCATCTCTGCATCCATGGCTGTCTGCCACTGAGAGGAGTACTCACCCGCGATCGCCTCAGCGTAAGAGCGCGGGGTCGGGATGTCTGGTGCATCCGGGTCTCCCTCAGGGGCAAGCAGCATGGACACGAGATGAGGCGCAGCGGCTGCAAGACACTCAAGGTCCTCCTGCCTGTCCTCAAGGACGTCCGTGCTAAGAGCACACTCACCCCCGACGGACGGAGGACAGACAGACTCAGACTCAGCAACAAGACTAGCGGCGTAGTCTAGACGACAGGCAGCAGCAAAGTCAACCAGCTCAGCGACAAAGGTAGACGCAGCAGCAGACTCAAACGACGGGTCAGTGACAACAGTGGCTAGTAGACGCGTGACAGTAGGGTGAGCAGCACGGGTGCGGTCAGATTCAGGCTCAGGAACGGTAGGCAGAGAAGCCGCAGGAGGGGACGGCAGGGGAACACGCTGCAGAGGAGAGGAAGGACGACGGACGACAAGGGAAGGGCCGGGGAGAGCCGGCTGACGCTGACGAGGAACACGACGACTGGAACGACCAGAATGGACAGGTGAGATAGGACGCGACGCAGGCTCACGACGCTCAGCAAGGCCCCCGGTCTACTCTGTGTACGGAGAAGGAGCAGGCAGCGGTGAGCCAGGCTGTAACGGAAGACCAGTAGACGAGGGGAGACTGAGAACCTGGCGAAGTGCAGAGGCAGGCGGTGGCAGAGACGACGGAGACGGCGGAGCGAAGAAGAGGCGCGGCTGTGCAGTGCCACCAGCACCAGCAGCCCCAGCACCCCCAGCAGCTCTAGTACCCCCAACAGCTCCAGCACCACCAGCAGCTCCAGTACCCTCAGTAGCTCCAGCACCTCCAGCAGCTCCAGTACCCTCAGCAGCTCCAGCACCTCCAGCAGCTCCAGTACCCTCAGCAGCTCCAGCACCTCCAGCAGCTCCAGTACCCTCAGCACCAGCTCCACCTGCTGCAGCACCCACAGAACCGGCACCTCCAGCCCCAGGGTCTCCAGCCGCAGTGCCACCAGGAGCAGCACCCTCAGACACAACACCGCCAGCCCCAGCAGCTCCAGTACCCCCAGTACGAGCACCTCCGGGACCAACTACACCAGCACCTCCAGCAGGCAAAGGACCAGCACCACTCCCAGCGCCAGTGACCTCAGCAGAAGGACCCCTAGCAGGAGAGTCCTGAGGTGCAGAAGCGCGACGCTGACGGCGACCGTACCAGTCGTGCAGCTGCTGGGAGGTGAGAGGCACACGCGGACGAAGACGGCTACTCCAAGGAGACAGCGGAACAGCAGTCTCAGAACCCTCAGGCGACTCACCCCCAGACTCAGCACTCCCAGGCTCCGCACACGCAGGCTCAGCACCACCAGACGCAGCACCCCCAGAAGCAGCACCCCCAGGCTCAGGACCTCCAGGGTCTTCACACGCAGGCTCAGCACCCCCAGGCTCCGCACCCTCAGGCTCCTCACGCTCAGCGCCCCCAGACCCAGCACCCCAACGCTGCGCATCCCCAAGCTCCGCACCCCCAGGGACAGCACCACTCCCAGCAGGACCGGAGTCACCAGTGACCTCAGCAGGCGCAGGGACGGGAGGGTCTACCTGAGAAACACCTGAGGGAGCAGGACCTGGCTCGGGGAGGGGGTCTACCTGGGGAGAACCTGGGGCGAGAAAGAGCGGCGGGGGGGGGGGCGAGGGGCAGTGCGGTAGGGAAAGAGACGGTAGAAGGGAACTGACTCGTCAAAGGTGACGTCCTGAGACGGAAAGACACGGCGCGAGGCGGGGTCGTAAAACTGCCAGCCAGGCGCGTCAGGGACAAAACCAAGAAAGACGCAAGGAATGGCGCGAGGGGAGAGCTTGTCCGCAGTGGTATCGCGGACAAAGGCACGAGCACCCCAGACCCGGAAACGCGACGCATCGCCAACCTTCCCCGTCCACAGCAGTGTGGGCGAGGTCTCCGGCAAGGAGACACGGGGCCAGAGGTTGAGCTGATGCGCGGCGTACCGGACCGCAAACGACCACAGAAAATGGGGGGCAGCCGCATGGATCATGGAGGTACGAGCGACCTCCATGACTAAGCCAATGCGGCGCTCAGCAACCCCATTCTGCTGCGGAGAGGCCGGAAGCGTGAACGACTGGGTGATGCCGTGCTCCGCACAGTAGGCTGCCAAGAGGTCGGAGGAGAACTCACCACCTCTGTCAAAGTGCAGACGCAGGACAGGAAAGTCCGATTGGAACCACTCGCGGAGCTGGAGACGAACAGCGCGGATCCAAGGGATCAAAACAGCAGGGACATCCGCCTTGCGCTGCAAGGGGAAGACCGTGGTGTAACGCGTGTAGTCGTCGACCACCAGCAGGAAGTACCGCTCGTGGCCCTGCCCCTGGACGCGGGCTGGGCCCCACACGTCCAGGTGGAGTGTCTGCAGTGGAGCCTCTGTGGGAGGAAACGAGGAGGAGTGAGGAGCGGCGCGCTGTCGCCCCTCGACGCAAGGAATGCAGGGCGGCGCAGGCAAGGGAGGGAGGGCAGGCAGAGACCTGGGAAGACCAGAGACCAGGAAGCGAGAGTGCATGCTACGAAGGCGAGGCAGGGAGGGGTGACCAAGGCGATGGTGCCACAGGAGAGTGTCGTGCGACAGCCGGCGACACTCACACTGGGTAGC